AAAATCTGAACAAAAATTGCATTAAATTTGAAGCTAACTGACGTGTTGCCATATAATTTGCTTTTTTGTAACAAAATTTACGACAAATATACTAGGAGGTTCACTTATTTTTTATTTCCAGCAACTGTTGCGATACTCATGGTGTATTTTTTGATTGAATAAAAGAAACCGAAAAGTTTTCAAAGGTGGAAGAAATAACAATCGAAAACTGCATAGCAATCAATACTTACCACACTGGTGAAGCTGCTTTTCGCAATTTTGATAAAACAATATCAAAACATTTTTTCTATTTTCGATGGAAAACAAAAAAGGTTTCAAATTTTTTTAAATACTGCGTCGCCTACCAGGTTCTCACAAGATGGGCATAAAGTTCAGTTTTGCTTCTTGTTCAACTAGAATACGAAGATTGCTCAATATTATTATTCAACGATTTTTCATACAAATATCAATTTTATTGAAAATTTTGGTAAAAACTAAAAATTTGCCAAAACTTGACTGAATAAAACAAACCTGCAATCATAAATTTTCCACATTTTTTAAGAGTCTGAACAATAAATGAAAATAACGATCGACCCATAAAAAAAAATTGAACGGTTTGATCAAAATCGTGAAGTAGATAATATTTACCCAATTCTTTCCACCAAGTAAATCTACTTATTTTGCAATCTGTTAGATTTATAAACTAGCGGAACAGATCAAATTAATGTATTGGCACAATTTTAAAACGATGCAAAAATTTTATTTGATCTAAGTTAACTTCAAATTTACAGTGCTGATCTAAATTCTTTGGAGAACAAAGTTCAAATTTTCAAGTGGTCATTTTCAAATGCCCTTCGGCCCATTGAACTCACAAAAAAATCAAAACACAATTCTTAAATCGTCTAACAACTGAAGCAAACTGACGTGTTGCCAGATTTTTTGCTTTTTTGTCACAAAAATTACAGCCAAGAACATATCAGGAGGATTGTTTAATTTTTATTTTGTCACCAATCGTTACGCTACTTTAAGTGTGTTTTTTGCTTGACTAAGTTGAACAGAAATCTATTTTTGATAGACAATTTCTAAAATATTTGTTTTTTGCTAAATGAAAAGCAAAACTAAAACTTTGACAAATGAACAGCGTTGTTTTTCTATTTTTATTGATATATTTCAGCCCAGTTTTTAATGAAAAAATAAGTTTGTAGTTTCCATCTTTGTTCATTTTGAGACGATAATTTAAAACAGAACTGAATCAGACAATGTTTGTGAAATTTTTTTTGTACAACTGATGCAGAAAACGCGTTTAGAAGGAAACATTTTTGCTGCATTCCGAAGCTTTCTAAATTTCTATTTTGAAAATTATTCAAAAAAAATTTGAATCAAAGACAACTACAACTTTTTTCTCAATCATAGAAATACTGATCATCTCGAGTTAACTATAAAATAGAGGCCGTTTCTGTAGTACGTTGTTGTGATTTTTCACGAAGAAGGAAATCAAATTATTTCAAGTTGCGCCTGGTCTAAATTAGGTATCTCTATGTTCTTGGATTCTAGAGACAAGTAAAAAAAACATAAAATTTCCACTTAAAATTTTTTCTTGGATTTCATTTGCAAAAACTTGTAAAATAAAACGTGTCCGCATTTTAGTTTTGTCGTTGAATCCGCATTTAGCAAGTTTAACTAGATGTTTCGATCCAGCATATGCAGGACAATTCCGCAAAATGTAAACAATTTCCGCAAACGTGAGCTGATTGCACAATTATAAGTGGATCGTACTTTTGTTTGTTATACTGAACTGAATTAGTCCTTGCATGAATAATTAAGAGCTATAACTAGAGTTGTTATCAAGCAATGAGGAAATTATAAGGCAATTTAATTATTTTTTCGCGTTTTTTCTCACAACATTAGTTTTGAAAAACTGTTTTGGTGGCAAAGGGCAAAAATTTCAATTTGCTTCTTGGTCAACTAGATTACGGAGGCTGCTCAATTTTATTTTTTCAAAGTTTTTTAAAAATAAATATCAATTTTATATCAAAATTTTGGTAAAAACGAAGTTTTTCATTGCCAAAACTTGACTGAAAAAACAAACCCGCAATCATAAGTTTCCATATTTATTTAAGAGTCCGAATAATCAGTCGAAATAACGATCGACCCATGAAAAAAGTGAACGATTTTATAAAAAATGGTGAAGTAGACAAAGTTTTCCCAAATCTCTCCACCAACCAAATCTACTTGTTTTGCAATCTACTTAATTTTACAAACTAGCGGAACAAATCAAATTAATGTATTGACACAATTTTAAAAAGATGCTAAAATTTTATTTGATCTAACTTAATTTCAAGTATACAGTGCTGATCTAAATTATCTGGGGAACAAAGTTCAAATTTTCATGTTGTCAATTTCAAGTGCCTTTCAGCCCATTGAGCTAACAAAAAAAACAGAACACAATATACAAATAGCCTAAAAATTGAAACTGACGTGTTGCCATATTATTTGCTTTTTTGTCACAAAAATCAAAATTTACAGCAAAAAACATACTAAGGGGTTCGCTTAATTTGTATTTTGCCACCAATCGTTATGTTACTTTAAGTGTGTTTTTTGCCTGACTAAATTGAACCGAATCCGAATAGTTTTTTTGATAGATAATCTCTAAAATAATTGACTTTGGCTGAATGAAAAGCAAAACTAAAGTTTTGATAAAATGAACAACGTTGTTTTTCTAATTTTTATTGATTTATTTCAGCTCAATTTTAATTTTAAAAAATAAGTTTGTATTTTCTAATTTTGTTTATTTTGAGCAAAAAAAGTGAACGGTTTGATCAAAATCGTGAAGTAGCAAAAGCTTTCTCACATCTCTCCACCAACCAAATCTAATTCTTTTACAATCTGTAGAATTATAAACTAGCCGAAAAGATCAAATTAATGTATAAAATGAACGAGTCAACTGTTTTTTATCAGAAATTTTAATCAGAATTTCTTAATCAGAAATAAATCAGAAATTAATCAAGAATTCTTCAGTTTTTTGAATAAATGCATTAGTTTACCTCAGTTTGCTTCCTTCTTTTAGTATTTGAGATTGAAACAGTATTCATTCGTTTAAAAATTGAGATTTAGCTGATGACCTAAAAATATTAAAAGTAAATGAGATTGAACTGTTGGATAGTCTCGCTGATGACCCGTAAAAAAAACAGATTTATTTAAATTTTTTAGACGTGACATTATATATTACTGGAATACGCAAACACTATGCGGATTCGGCTTACAATTTACGGTTTTCGCTTGCATTTTGCTGATTCCGCTTTCATTTTTCAATTTTGCATCTCAAGTTTACTATACTTGTAAATTATTATTTGCTTGTGGATTCCACAAACTGTTCCCGATTCCACAAATACTTTTGCGGGATCAGCAAATTTGCCTTTTTAGGAGCATTTTGGAGTGGTACAGTATTTTGGCTTGTTGTGTGTGGAATCCATAACAATGAAAGTAAAATAGCGCTTTTGCTGATTCCGCGACAAATCTGATTTTGACCTGTTGCGGAATCCGCTCGCAATTCACACCCCGCTTGCAATTCACATTCCCGCATATACAAAAGTATTATCAAATCATGAAAAAAGTTTGAGCGCATTAGGTGAGTATGTGTGCTAAAATAATTGCTTATAACAGCAGGTGCAATAACATGTGCTAAAAGAAAAGCATTTCAGGAAACAAGGACTAAAGTTATTTATAGCAATATATTTTGAGGGCTGCAATATGCAGAATGTTGTAAGTGCACAAAGTGTCTAAGAACAGCTAAACAAATTCCCATAGGCAATTTGATTAAATAATTAATAGAATTGTCATTGATACAACTGAATTTTGTACTCATTTTATTGGTTCAAAAAATTTTGTTGCAGATAAACTAAGAGCAGCTTCATCGTTTTTTGATTTTCTATTTCTCAACCCAATCTATTCCTAGACCATTCTGCTCATTGACCGGCCATGGCTTATTGCTGAGGGAGCGAACTTTTTTTGATATATATATGATACGCCAGTTTAATTAAAAGTAAGTAGATCAGTCAGTATTCAGTTAACCAGAAAACAGCAGACCAGATCAGTAAACCAAAAGGGCTTCACAAATTTAGTATCAATAATAATTGTGGTTTATGCAATTCACTGAGAATATATGAAAGGCTATCCAGAGTATCTCAGCATGATCCATCTCTTTTCTGCATATTCCAAAATGAGATATTTTGTTGAGTGGCTCTTTTTTTGCGATTTTTTTTGGGTCTAGAATTTTTACGTGGTACCCTTATTGCAACTGAAATCAGTCAGGCTGTGATATGCCTGAATTGTGGGGTCAAATAACGTAAATTATGTAATTACGTGAACGGAATACTAATAAATGTATAAAACGAATTATTATTCCGACTTTCGTAATGAAAGTAACAGAATGTTTGTGCTCCGGGTGATTTTTTTTTACTTCAGACAAAATTTTTTTTGCTAGGCATTTTTGACGGATTTTTTTTGAAAAAATCATTTAAAATATATTGTTGTCCTGAGCTTAAATTCTAATAGATATTTTACCTTTGATCATTTTTTGTTAAACCATGGGGGTTTAAAGATTGCCATTTTGGTCATTTTGGGACAATTAACGAGCTATATATTTTGCACTATCAACGCGTAAGCGGAGATTCAATCCATCACCGAAATCGTTCCAAATTCGTCAAAGGAAGATTAACTGCCATCGTTGATTTATTCCTAGGAGGGAAATCTATCACTTTGTAATTTATATGGCGTGTGAGTGGATATTTTTCACAAAAAATCTCAAAGATAAAAAAAACTTCATTTTATTTCACTACATTTATTTTTTTTTCTGGTTAGCGCTCCATAGACCTTATAAGGCAGTCAGAACATTCAGGGCTTTGCCTTGATACGAGCCGACTGGTTTTTCTCAAAAAATGGTTATGCAATCAATGGTAATCAAGGCCGCAAATTTATATACCTATGATTATGTAAGTGATGTTATTATTAGGTAACTGGGTTTAATGATCTGGCTGGCAATTTACTGACGATTCGGTTTACTGGCGATCCGCTTTTCTTGTCAGTTTCTTGCGTTTTTTGGCTGACGCTGACGGTTAGTGATTGCAGTGGTGGTGTTTCGATGGTCGGTTTTTGTCCCACGCAATATTCTAAAGAATGTATTTCTGAAGTACGAGCTGGCTGCAAAGTACGCGTAGAAGTTCATTGAATTGTTCAAAACAGCTGGAAGCTTCTAAAACATAGAATTACATTAGGTAACGTTAAACTCATTGAAAATTAAGAATTTTCTCCTTTGTTCAAAACTTTGTCATAATTGCCAAAAAACGCCGGAAAAGTATGGATGTGGTTTCAAAATTAAACAATGCATACTTTTTGACAATTGTTTTTGAAGGGCTCATTTTGTAGTGCGTTTTTCATAATTCAGTGTAGTTGATATGTCATAGTACCTACTTTGTGCAGATTTTTACTTTGCAAGATTTTTGCAAAATACCCTTTCTAACAAAAATATGGTTTTTCTTTTTTCAAAAACCCCTTTTAGAAAAGAAAAAAAATATGCTGCCACATTCTATATCTTCAAGAATGTTCAGCAGGGGCGGATCTAAAATTTTCTCGAAGTATTGAGTTTTCGAAAGTTTTGTCGGCCTTTTTCGTTTTTAGGTCGACCAAATTGATTGTCTGACATCTCCCAAATCACTATTTAGACCCTATTTTGACCAAACTTTTGAGAAAAAATCGGTAAAAAAAGCATTTTAGGCATTTTTTGAAAATGTTTGACCAAAAGATTGATTTTTTTTGGCACGCGATCCCCTCAAAGTTAGTATATATTGGCGCCAAAGGCGACTTTAGAAGAATATTATGGTCAGTCAGTCGAAAATTGGCATCCCAAAATAGTACAATTGGGGACCATTTGGGTCGAAGCATTTTATAAAGCTTACATTCTTCTTAATGGGGTCTGCGAAAAATTTTCTTTGCAGGGCGATAACAAAACTTTAAAAAAATATGTCTCATTTATAAAGTGCCAATTTATATCTGGAGATTAAACCATAAAGAAAAACTTAGGCGGCGCATTTTAAGAATTTTTTTTTCAAAATTATCTGCTGGTATAACGCTCAAATTAATTTCGTAAAACACTCGAAGTCACATCCTTCATGAAGTAGAATTGTTAGTTGTTGTCCAAATAACACAAAAATCTCCGACCACAGTTTGGTTGAAAAATAAAGGTAAATAAAGCATCAACAAATTTTTCGCAGCAAAAAACTTCGAAAGGAAGAAAAAAATTCCTGTTTGTGTGTAAGTGCGTATGTGTGGGTGTGTGTGTGGGGGGGGGGGTTGGAAAGATTGTTGGCAAAACTATTTGGGCCAACTCACTCGAACATAATTGATCAAATTGGCTTCACTTGGTTTGGAGTCCGCAAATACCAGACTCAGTCGAGCCATGATTCCCAGCCCACTTAGGCATATCAGAAACGAAACACATACAATAATCAAACAAAGGGTCATCTCGCGGTCTTTTCTCGAAACGCTTGTTGATTTATGGCGCAGCTTGTAGATTATGAGGGCATTCACAAACACCATTGAAAGTCCGGGTAGAATGTAACCCCCAATGAATATGAACTCGTAGTATACAGAGAAGGTCCAGTCGTGGAGAAAATGCCAGGGGTTCGTATCATCAAAGTTGCAGTAATTTTCATCAAGTCCATACTCGAAAAAAATGGGTAGCATTGAAAGTCCTAATACGATCCAAATTGCTAGAGACGCGATTATGGCTCGTTTTGGCTTGGATTTCTGTTTGTACCAAATTGGTTTCCAGATTGCAATAAGTCGGTCAAAAGCAGCTGCTAGTAGCACATATCCAGCTAAAAATGAATAGACGAGGTTTTATGATAACTAGCCTGTATTTTAAACTTGGATAGACGTCTTGAATTCAAGATTTTTTAGTTTTGGTTTTGCTATGAATTTTTTCGTTTTCCTTTTGCAGGTTTCGGCTCAGTTTGTTTATGGAGTTTTTGCTTCGGTTTTCATTTTGTGAAAAAAAAGTGTGCACAAAACCTCAAAAGTTGTTTGATGAGTTGAAAATATGTTGCTAACGAAATGAAAGTTTTTAGTGAGCAGCTCTTTTTTGTTCTGATTACGGTAGAAGCTAAGTCACTATCGTTCACAGTACTGAAAAATTCCGAATCAATGAAACTTCACGCAACATTGAGGAATGTGGATTATTCACTTCGGCTTGATTGGTTCAGTTTTTTTTTCATTTGGTTTAATTATTCGGTTCTGCCCGAAAAACCCCCGATACCTAGAGTCAGATAATTTGGAAAGATCAGGTTTATTTTTGGTTCATCAAAGTACATTGCAGAGCGCGCCAACAGTTTGGCAAGATGACCATGTTCTTTGATGAAATCTTGGCAAACCAAACAATTTGCTGAAACAATTGTAGAAAAAAATTGTTTCATTTTTAAGAATTCAAGATCGCACCAAAATTTCCAAAATGATTTTGTGTCTAAAATGTTTGCAATTCTTTGACTTTAATCGACAAAACTAAGCAAAATTTCTGAAAAATTAGTTTGGATAAGCATTAATTCAATCAAAAGTGAACACTGAAGCAAATAGAGGTAAAAATCACCCTGATAACATTGTGTTTTGAGTTCTGAACACTTTTTTATAAAGTAAACAAAGACATTAGCTTAAAATTTTAAATTTACAATGCATGTTGCTACTTTCAAAAATGCAGTCAATTTCGAACGTGTTGAAAGCAAAACTTACCTATTTACATCAAAAATTAATGATTCAGATTTTTTGGATCGGAACAATGTTGTAAGAATTTGAATTTTTCAACACAAAAGACTGCTCTTATCACGGCAAAGCCTGAAATTTTCCGACTGCATTTTAAGGTCTTTGAAATAGTATTCTTTTTAAACAAATGGGTCAATTAAAAAAAGGAAAAAATTTTTTTAAAGTTTCTAGTTAAGAAACACCCCCAATAGCTATAAAATGATCAAAGTGATATATTTTGCAACTTGTTAATTTTTGATAGCAATCAGCATGCCTCTGAGATGGATTAAATCTCCGCTTACGCTTTAACAGTACTAAATACCTTGCGCGTTAATTGTACCAAAATGTCTTAATTGGCAATGTGTGGAAAAATGATAATAGGTGGAATACTTTTTAAATTTGAGCTCAGGAATACAAAACCTTTCTAATGATTTTTAAAAGCTTTTCAAAGTTTGGCTTATGAAAAGTTTGAAAATTGTCTGGAGAAAAAAAAACACCCCGAGCACCAACAACCCGGCATTTTCTTCGAAACAGTCCGAACAACAAAATACTCCTGAAAAAAAATTTGATTTGCTAAGAGTTTTTAAAAAATGCTTTTTTGAAAGCGAAAATTTTATACCAATAGGAAAAGAAAAAATTAAGAATACTTTTCACTTATTTGAACAGTTTTGTGATGATGTTTTGGAAAAAGTTTTCCATAGTTTTGCACAGGTTTTTTGGTTTGATATTTTACGAACTAAAATTGTTCTGAAAGTTTGCATTTATCCAGAAAAAGAACGTTTTTCCCTGAATACTTTCAAAAAATTATCCATAAAAAACTCTCAAACCTATAAGCAACATCGGCATCTAAATAAATTTACTTTGTTTTAATAACAAAAAAAACAGAGAGTTTGAGAAGTTAACTATTTTGAGTTTTTTATCAACCCGTGATGATCTTTTGCAAGACCGATATTTATCTTGAATTGAAATGCCAATACGCACACCAATTGTTCCGTTTAAACTCTATTTAGTTTAGGCACTAATATATGTAGCGCTTCAGTACGCACACAAATTGTTCCGTTTAAGTAGTATTTAGGTTTGGCACTTTTATATAATGCAGCGCTTCGAAATATGTATCTAAAGAAAAATTAGTGCAATTTGGAACCTGATCTAAACTACATTTTATGATTGGATAAATTAGATATTTTACCAATGTAAAGTATTTAATATTAACCAATCATGATCCATCTGACTAACAATCCACTTATTTGTAAGTGCTGAAATTACTTGTAATTTCAGCACCAGAGAGATTTGAATTTAACTTAGAAATTAGTTGGACTCTCCCGAGCACTTCAGCAGCCGCAATAAACCAGTATACCCTAGATCTATTGAGCCTAGCAGAGACTAGTTAAACAACCTGAGACTAGATAGTATAAGAGTAAGATTAGGATCGGTATTAGACTAAGAAGTTGCACGAATCTATCCGGCCGAAAATAAGATAGCGTGACGAGCAGACGGTGTACCCTATCCGAAATTACTCTATGAGTTATACCCTTCGGTCATAACTCATCTGGTGCGACCATAAGTCTCGAACAAGACCTTAATAGCTTAGAATTAACCAAAATAGATTAGAAATTAGACAAAAACATTTACAAAATGTTATACGACAATAATTTAATCGAAATGTCTCTACGACTCAATAGATCAGAGCCAATATTCCGAACCATAACAGAACTACCCGGAATTGGAAGAAGACCTCGAACCAGAGACGACATACGACAAAGTAGAAACTTGCCATATAGCTATATGATAGTTAGGCAAAAACCAGAACAAACTTTTATATTTAGAATACTACTGGCAATGAATTTAGATTTTCATTTGCAAACCTAAAATTTTGAAGTCAATCCTCAAAATCATTACAGGCGCTAAACAAAATTATTAATATACAATAACGATTGATAAAAAGATCTAAGATCGTTTTCCTAAAACTCTGCAGTAATATACAAAACATGTTTGAAAAATATTTATTGAAAAATAAAAAATAAAAATTAGTAGCATGACAATAAATGGTTAGTAATCATAAATCATCCTGTTGTTCCAGCTCCATCATCTAAAACATAACAGCAATCATAAACCCACTAACATCATCAAAACACTAAATCTTTCCTTTACACACATTTAAAAATTTATTAAAACTTAAATTCACTTAATTTTAAAACCAGATCATCAAGGCTTATCCTTGGATCTTAAATCATTTTCTACTTAATTAAATTTCAAATTTGATCATCAAGGCTTATCCTTGGATCAAACAGAACAACTTTGTTCTCCCCCACCCACTTAATTAGTGTCTAACGACCTCAAACGTCGATTCACTACCCAACCCTTTCTAAAGACCTAAGACTAATAGAAATTTTTAAACAAAACTAATCATTCAAATTAGGATAAATAGCGAAGAACTTCGGTTATTCATCCTTCACTTGACCCCCCCTCTTACCAGACCCAGGATAAATCTTAGACTTAGTAAGTTTAAAATAGTATCTAACGAACTACTCGCGTTCTAATTATACCTGAACCTTGTGGATCGATTTACTATTCTCCAACCCTTGAACACAATCACTACCCCTAAGTAAGATTAAGTAAGTTAACACCTTAACTTATACTAGTCACGAGAAAGTAAAAAATCATTCTTCGGAATCGATATACTTTTCTCTCCAACCCTGAACAAATAGACCCAGGTTAAGCTAACCAAAAAATCGTAAGAACTAACAGTTTAGGAAAATAGAAATCATTTAACAACCTTTTGCATCCGTCATCCTAAACCTTATGTCATTTAAAAACCTAGGAAATAAACAAACAATCGTTTTACACAATTGTGAAATAGATAACAAAAAATACGATCTTGTAATCACACCACACACACAAACAGTTGGATATATCAGAACAAAACGACAAACACTAAAGAGAAAAATAATAACTAAACAAAGACAAATAACACGAAAAAGATTTTCAAAAAATCGAAACGCATTTTCAGAATCAGAAACCAACAGTTTAGACGAACTTTATAAACTAAAAGAATCAATAGATAAAAGTTGCCCAATTCACGATCAATTATATTTCTCTGACTCAGAAACAACTTCAAATTCATCAAAAAGAGGAAAAAGAAGAATAAAAAAGCAGTATAAACACAAACCAGTACATTTATACAATCAACCAATTAGACACATTGATAATTACATATTAACAGTCATCGAACGAAAAAATGAGCTCAACGCACACCCCAGGTGAAGAAAGTCCAGATGATGATGATATCTTCCCCTTTATAGTAGATGCAACCACTGATAGAGGACAGCATATATTTTGCAAAAATTTACTCTTAAATTTGTTTGAACCCGGAATCAGTCCATGTAAAACAGAGTTCCCAGATGTAAGAATCAAAAGACAAATTATCGATCACTATCTAAAAGATATATGTAACCTAACACAACAATACGGAATCTACTCCATAGAATTCAGCTCACCAAACCAGAATCACAGTAAATATATAATTCAAACAGACGACCTTGATTTAGAATTTTCAAAAGTATTCTCAGAATATATAAAAAGCATCCAATATCATAACTCACAAAGAGCAAACTCCATATTCACCAATGAAGTTTTTGCGATAATATATAGTTATATCTCGATATTAGAAAACGAAATCCAGATACCAAATGTCTCACCGACAGAAAAATCTAAACATATAAGAGTACGACATGAAATCACACTACTCTCTAGTTTTCTAAATATAATTAAAGAAAATTTCACGAAAGATGAAGTTTCACAACATACAAAACACGACTTACAAAAACTTTTGGCATGGTTCATAATAGATTATTTCACACATAATATTGATTTAATTTCACAAGCAAGAAAAAATTTTAGACCCCAAAACTCAAACGATGATACTGCCATTACAGAACAATCAGACTATGTTTGGGACCCCGAATGGTCTCATCCCGCATTCATAAACTTCCCACAATCAATCTCAAGTCAAGCAATAAGTACGATATCTTATGTAAGAGATTATGTAAGAGTAATACCATTAACCATTGATGCAACACCATTAAAC